TCTCTCTTTCAAAAAAAAATATATAAACATTAAAAAAAAAAAAGAATACCCCATCCATAACAATAGAAGATTCCTTGGCATTGAAAAGAGAACAGGGGCACCTGCATGGCTCAGTCAGTTAAGCGTCCGACTTCGGCTCAGGTCATGATCTCATGGTTTGTGGGTTCAAACCCCGTGGGGATGTGCTTTGGCAGTGCGGAGCCTGGAGCCTGCTTCAGATTCTGTCTCCCTCTCTATCTGCCCCTCCCCTGCTCACTTTCTCTCTCTCGCTCACTCTCTCTCAAAAATAAACATTAAAAAAAATTAAAACAATAAATAAAAGAGAACAGGGGTGCCTGGGTAGCTTAGTCAGTTAAGTGACCAACTTCTGGCTCAGGTTGCTGATCTCCAGAGCTTGTGAGTTTAGCAAATAGTTCCATGCTGACAGAACCTTGGGATTCTCTCTCTCCCTCTCTCTGTCCTTCTGCATCATCTCTCTTTTTCTCTAAATAAAATAAGCTTTAAAAAAGGAGAGAACAGAAAAAATAAGAGAAAAAAAGAACAACAACAACAAAAAAGGATAATTACATATGAGATAAATACTAAATGTACTTAAATTCCTGCAAAAGAAAAATCTAAAACTGGTTAAAAAAAAAAGCATTAAGTACTTTACTTAAGATATATTAAAAATCACAGCTAAAGAGATGGTCTAAAGTCAGCAAATATCTGCTAACATAATACAGGAACCCAACCATATCTATATGTTTAAAAATATGAGTGTTAGCATAGAAAGCATGAAGAGCTAAACAAGAATGGAAAGTAATAACAAAGTTATGTAGTGATGACATCAATAATTCGAATTTATATGCCAGAAACACACACACAAGAATGTTATTTTTTGGGTGTGTTTACTGGAGGGTGTTCAGGGATGATGTTCCCTCCTGCTCTCTGAGATTCTGTAACTTGAGCAAAGCCAGCTGAAACACATACAGATACCAGGATACAAAGAAACACTCAAAACAGAAAGAGAATTCTGGAAAATGCATTCTCAAATCATTGTGATATTTTGAAATAAAATCAAATCATAATTTATGTAATTCATACCACACAAAACCATTTAAGCAATCTTTTTTGAATAACATTTGAAATGATTTAAGTAAACAAAGAATGAAGAATATTTATCTCAACCACAAGGAGGATCTGACTTGATGAAAAACCATAGAAGCAGTCAAACTGAGCATACATATTTGGCTATATAATCTTTTCTGCATGCGAAATGTAACCAATAAAAAGAGCCTGGGTGGCATGATGCAGTTCTAGCGTCTGACCAGCCAGGTCACGATCCATGGTCCGGAGGCCCGCGCCAGGCTCTGAGCTGATAGCTCAGAGCCTGAGCCTCGATTCTGTGTCTCCCTCTCTCTCTCTGCTCCTCCCCCCGTTCATGTCTCTCTGTCCCAAAAATAAATAGCGTTGAAAAAAAAAATTAAAAAAAAAAAGATAGCGAATCAAGATAAATATTTGGGGCATACCATAAATATATACAACAGAGAGAGATTACAAAAACTTGGGGGTCCCATCGATCTCAGGGATAGCTCGCCAGATACCATGGAGGAACCCCGCTGGGCCTCTTGGAACACAGCGTGAAAACCACCGCTGTAATGTAAGATCAATGCCTTGTGATCTTCATCAGATGGTGCTTTCTGAGGAGACAAGACACAGAAAAGCTTGCTGTGAATTGGCCAGAGCTCATAGGCAGAGTCAAGTGACTCCTGGGTCAAATACAGAAGAATTGGAATTATGAGTCCTGGGGCAGGAACATTTTCCAGAGCACGCTCGGTTGTCAAGGTGATGGACTGAGAACAAGGTCACAAGTTCCAGACAAGCATGGTGCACCCGGCAGGGAGGTAGAAATCCCACTAGGTAGACTCCTGGGAGACACGATGGGCATTACCAAAGCCTTTACCCATGGACCCACAGATATTCTCCCAGAATTCTGCTAGCCAGACCATTTCTGTCTTCTATATTATCCTAAGTCAACCCCAAGGACCATCTGAAAGCTGAAGAAGAGGTCGCTGGGATCTTTGGCGGCAATTCTTCCCACAACAAGGGGCGAAAGAAATGGCAAAAGCAGTAGTGCTTCAAGTGGAACCTTTGAAGGAGCCTCCAGGCCTCTTCCAGCTGGGCAGCCTGGGCGCTACAGAAGCTCTCTGGGGCCTCAGCATCATGGTCAATCACATGAGAATATTCTTGCTTCTCACCTCTGCTGTTATAAGAAATAAACATATATAGGGGCACTGGGTGGCTCAGCCAGTTGGCGTCGACTTTGAGTCACGATCTCTCACAGTTTGTGGGTTCGAGGCCGTGTATGCTGGCAGGCTCAGAGCCCTGGAACCTGCTTGATTCTGTGTCTCCCCTCTCTCTGTGTCCCTCCCCACTCATGCTCTGTCTCTCTCTCTCTCTCTCTCTCTCAAAAATAAACATTAAAAATTTTTTTTAAAGAAGTAAAACATATATAAAGATGTATGCTGTGTGTTTAGCTTGATGGTAGCCTCAATATATTTCATAAATGGTTTCTGCTGCTGCTGCGTACCTGTAATCTTGACACACAGTTAAAACCTCTTATCGGAATCCGTAATTTGGGGTTAATTCGTGACCATTACCACATCAGCGGAACACAAGGAGTTCTTGGCGAGATAACATGGTAAATATTAGAAGAAGAAAACAGAATGGTATGTACTTCTAGATTACAACACTTCGGTATGGACGCGTAGGGATCTGGGGAATCTCTTGCCCCAGATCCTTTTAGAAATTAGGGCACATGGAGTGGAGCAGCTAATGTACAGGCTCCTGTCGCGCGGATCAAAGATTCCCTGCACACAAACAGTGCCTCAAATTGACGCTGTAGCTGAAATCAGGCGATCACTACTGACTAAAGGGTT